ACTCCTTGGCCCCCGCCTCCCGCCCTGCCCAGCTACCCCACAATCCTTTGCACCAGCCTCCCGCCCTGCCCAGCTACCCCACAATCCTTTGCACCAGCCTCCCGCCCTGCCCAGCTACCCCACAATCCTTTGCACCAGCCTCCCACCCTGCCCGGCTACCCAGAGTCCTTTGTGTGGGCCTCCCGCCTTGCCCAGTTACCCACAGTTCTTGGCGCTGCTCTCCCCTGGTCCCCGGTTACCCACAATCCCGTGGCCAACCTACCTTCTCCCCCACTCTCCAGGCAAGGTGATCATGCATGACCCCTTCGCCATGCGCCCCTTCTTCGGGTACAACTTTGGGCGCTACCTGGAGCACTGGCTGGGCATGGAGGAGCGGCGCGGGGGGCGGCTGCCCAAGATCTTCCACGTCAACTGGTTCCGCAAGGACGCGGACCTCGCGGGTGCTGGACTGGATCTTCCGGCGGGTGGAAGGGGAGGAGAGTGCACAGGAGACGCCCATCGGCTACGTGCCCCGGGAGGGGGCCCTCAACCTCCAGGGCTTGGCCAAGGTGGACTTCCAGGAGCTCTTCTCCCTGCCCAAGGCCTTCTGGGAGCAGGAGGCGCTGGAGGTGCGCAAGTACCTGACCGAACAGGTCAACGCCGACCTGCCCCGGGAGGTGATGAGGGAACTCGAAGGGCTGGAGAGCCGGGTGAAGAAGATGTGAGCGGGGGGACAGGAAGACACGACCCTCGTGGAGTTTGTTTACGTCGCATTCCCCCGCCTTGCCTAACTGAAGCCGCCACCATCTTGTTACCTTACTACGAATCGTCTTCCGTTGACATGGGTTGGCCGGCTTCTTCTCTTGACCACGGTTCCGCCATTGAGTTTGCATGAGTCAGCCATTTTGTTCCATTGACCGTGGTAGGTTGGCCATTTTCTCTTCTTGACTGTGGTTCCGCCCTCTTCTCCAACTGACGTGGTTTGGCCTTCGTGTTGCCTTGACGTGGCTTGGCCATTTCGTTTCCTTGACGATGTCCGCCATCTTGATTCCTGGATACGGCCTGGCCATTTCTCTTCTCTTCACCATGGTTCTGCCATCTTGTTTTGGTGCTCTTAAGTCGGCCATCTTGTCCCACTTGGAACGCTGACCTTCCTTCCAGCAAGATGTGGGGTCTAGCTCTTCCAACACAACAGGACTTCAGCATCTGCCCCCAAACCCATCGTCATTAAGTTCAACGTCAATGTAAGCCAAGCGTCCTCCAGAGGTAGCTCCCACAAGAAGGCCAAATCTTAACCATTATCTTTGCTCCGGTGGCAACACTAAAAAGACAGCACCGGGCAACCGCACTGCCTGTTTGCCTTCCCAAGCAGTTCGGAAGCAGTATTAACCGTCCGTGGACTCAGGAGCGGTGTCCTTTTCCACAGCCCAAGCCAGCCCTGTCCTCACCGTAATTTCAACGCCCTTTGCCAAGTGGGAGGCCGGCCGAATTCCTGACGCTTGACCAAATCTCTGACCAAAATCCCTACTTCCTCCTCTCTATCCATGCCACAGCTGCTCCTCCCTTTGTCTGGCCGCCACCTGCATGCCTAACGTGGCACGGAGCCACCTGGAGCTAGAATCGTCCTCCGAATCCTCGATCCGTTCTTCCCGCCTCCCTCACAGGAGGTAGGATCTCACCTGATCTCACCTGAACTGAAGCAAGCTCTGCAAGAAATCCAGCTGCTAAGTCATTCGCAGGCCTGGCAGCTCCCAAGTGCCTTGGGGAGGGATATCTCCCCCTCCTGTTGCTTACCCTGGCTCTGCCCGCCATGCCAGTCTCTCACCAGCATCCTCGCTTCTCTGCTTCCAGATCATACCTTGCCCCTCTCCGATGCCCTCCAGGCATCTGTTACACCCCGTCCTTAACGATGCCCATTATACTCCGTCCCTAAGGACAACCACGATGCTCCGTCCTTAACGACGCCCATTATGTTCCGTCCTTAACTATACCTACAACCTGAAACTGCTCAGGACTGCTTTGCCCCAGCCGGGGCCTTTGCCTTAAATTCAGGGAGGACGGCTCCCAGCAATGCCCCCGAGCCCAGCGGGGCGAAGGAGCAGGACGGAGACATAGAAACAGGAGTAGGGGGAATCCCGGCCGCAGAACAGCAGCAGGACCCGGCCAAGGCTCCGTGCCGGCTTTGCCCAGGAGGGGGGAGATGAAGCACAAAAGCCCTGGATCTCTTTGTGCGCCCCAATGGGATTTTGTAACTAATAAATACTAACGAGACCCGACTGTGAAAAATAAAAGAGGATTGTAACAGGAGTGGCGCCAGTTACTGTGATGGGGGGGGCGAGAAAGGGACAGTACCCAGGCCCCCAGGGCCCTGCCCCGCTCCTGGGGGTCGGCGCAGCCGCGGGGGGACTTTGACCAGGGGTTGGTTCATTCTGGCCTTGGAGCCGGGGCTAGGGAAGTTACCCATTAACGCGGGGGGGCGGGGGGACGGACTCTGCAGCTAAGGG